GAACGACAAATGAAAGAGAGGTCATGAGTGGCCAGCTATTGAATGAAGTGGGGTGCGGAGGAAGGTGTTGCCATTTTTACTTTCCTTTTGGCATTTCAATTTCCATTGTCCCTTTTCTCTTGTGGCGATCGGAAATACTGTGCTATGCTTTCTTATCCGATAAGCTCCTTGTGGTCACTACTTGACTATTAGGAATCATGAGAAGTCACTCATTTCATTTCGTTCAACCGGGTATCATATCATGAATGCCAGAATACAATCCGAGTTACACACCTACCCTTCCATGCACTACCTGCCTCCTCAGCCCTGCGGGGCCCTACATTCTGAGACATTAAAGGAAGCTCTAGTACTAGTACAGTACACCTGTGGCCTCCCCCCCCCCAGCCTTTTTCCGCCAACTGACTCATGCCATATCCTCAGTAGGACCCGACAGTGACGATTTTGAGATCGACTAACCCAAGGACTGCCTGCCCACCCACCCAGATGCTTTGAACTGCTAGCAGAACCACAATTTCCTGTTCTATCTGGTTCTAGCTTTGAACCATCCGAACCATATCACAGAGCCCAAATAAACGCCCCTGGGGCGCGGACTTTGTGTGACGGGTCCGGAATAATCACCCTATGAGGCAGGCGTGTCTTCGCAACCCGGAAAATTTGGGCTGTGAGTATATAAAGTGGAGCGATCGGTAGAAGGAGGGCAGGCCCAATACGAGTTTCGGAATTGTAAGATTTCTGGTACCGTATTGTTAGAGACACCTGCAATAAGCTATCGAGATGAGCGTTCCGTTTCCTTGATTGTCCGGTTGGCTAATACCTTATTCGTAAGATACCATTAGGTATCGGGTCGATGGCGAAGGTGAAACTTCGCCTGGTGGCCTCATACCAATGCCGGCGGCTCATAACATGGAGACGCAGTCTCGCCTGTTGGGCTCGGCACCGAACATGCGGCTCTGTGGGATAATATTACTAATTTTACCTCTGGTTGGATGGCTTAATAAACCGTGGCACAGTACACGATTTCGCGATCGCGCCCAACAGATATATCTGCCACTTGAAGTGATTATGGTAAGGTGGTTGCGCTTGATAAGAACATAAGGTTGAGAAATTTTAGGGTGATGGCCGACGGGATGGGGGTCTCCGGTCAGAACCTAAGCCCTCAAAAGTTCTCGCTTCATTGGGGGGGGTGGGGTCGGAGCTTCCCGTGATTTGAGTTGCCACACCCCATTTGCTTCACATTTACCGATACCCTGATCACACCAGCCTCGTGCAACCGTCGATACCGCAATACCGCTATCGGTACTTGACCTATTTTCATTAGGGATTCTGACAGATGACTCCCCCGCCCTTGTGCTTCCTCAAACAAGACCGCTAGTGGTCATGGCCCTCACGAAAGTGCCGAAGCACAAGTATGATGCTACGATCGCTACAATGCGGGGGGGTATTGTGCGCCCTTTCGTAGTCTGCGTGGTCTGCGTCGGTTCGAAGTCTAGATGTCCGATTGATATTTAAGGTGGGGCTATGGGCTTGTTTCGATGTGAAGATAGGGCACCCTGTTATTGAGAAAATAGGCTAGTAAGAGGCAAGGGCTATCCCCAGCGATGGGGGAAAGCAACTCTATCCGTGTATCTGCGTCGCTAAAATGGCCCAAATTTGTTTTCTAAGGCTACAGCTGATGGAGTACTCGAGTACCGGTACCGGTATTCCAAAAAGCGCGTCCACTTCTAGGATACAGTTGCGGGGTGTTGTCTTATCATCTCCCGTATCATGTAGTGTAACGAGACATGCAGTCCTGTACTCGTACATGCCAGTCGCTACTTTCACCAGGACCAAAGTCCAACCAAGTGGCGGGAAATTTCTTAGATCACCAGGAAAAGCCAGCCAATTGAGGATCGGGTGGCGGTGCAGTATTTTTTGCTTTTCTCTCCCGTCTTCCCCTCCCAGGCTTCGAAGACCCCAGAGCTCCCGAGTGAGAACCCCCATCTCTGCTACTGCCCCGAGATGCTATCCCTTTGACATCCATCCTCTACCCTTATGCCAAATCTCACGGCTTCACCGAATTTGAATAGCTCGCGATAGGAGTCTCCATATCCAAGGTTGAGTCCTCGGCTTCTCATTCTCTAAGTTACCTCGCCTCTGATCTGTCTCAGGTCGCGCGAAACAACTCTGAACTGTCCTACAAGTACATACACTGGTTAGCAACAAATAGCCTATCTTTCCCGTTTCAGGCACTGTAGCGACATCAGGTTACTTTTTTTACACGGCCTTCGAAAACTCCCTCACAGTTAGTCAAATACGCGAGCACTTGATGAATAGGTGGGCTCCCATTTTCTTCAATGTCCCCAGTTTGAAAATAACAAGCGCCAGCCTAACAATCTACCCAGAAAACCGCAAGCCGATATCCGTGGAAACTTCAGCGGGAATTCAGGGGACCACAGTGTTTTTGGTAGTAATAATATTGGCAACGGGAACACGGGAAACCTGAACCATGTTACCAATCTATATCAGGGGTGCGTATTTGGAGCTGGGGACAAAGGTACCGTAAACTCACACGAGAGAGTTCTGGCCAAAATCTAATGTGCTATTACAACTAGAGGAAGTATCTAGGCCTTATCGGATAATTCCCTATCGCAGAAACAGCAGGTTTACGGGCCGCAAAGATCTCATTGAGTTGATAAAGAGGCTTTCCTAGGGTAGTGGCCAGAACCGGATCGCACTTCATGGATTAGGCGGTTCTGGGTGTGTCTTCATTATCGCTACGGGTATTCCGGGGGCCCACTAACGCTGCCTAGAAAGACCCAAATTGCCCTCGAATACGTTTATCAGCGCGCAGGCGCGAGTGATTGTCATGTTTTCTGGGTGCACGGGAGTGGGGCACAAAAATTCCGTGAGGGTTTCGGAGCTATTGCGCATCATGTTCGAGTTCCCCTAGCTAGTGCCGAGACAGACCAAGAGGAATTACTAGCTAGTATAAAGAGGTGGTTTGAAGGACCAGACAGTGGTGACTGGATACTAGTTATCGACAATGCCGATAACGAGGAGGACTTTATTGGAAACAGCGGGCCTATCTCAAAATTTGTACCACAAGGCCCTAGGGGTACTCTTATATTCACCACTAGGTCGCTCCGGGTTGCATCTTGGCAGGATTGCGAAAGGGTTGATGTCGGGAAAATGGGAGAGGATGAAGCGGGGGCGTTGTTTCTGAAACGCTACGGTAACAGGAACACTTTGAGAGAAGAGGAGAATGAGGCCATCGCATCAATCTTGGGCGCTCTACACCACATCCCGCTGGCTATCGTAGGAGCGGCAGCCTTCATGACGGAAACCCAGACATTGCCATCAGTATACTTGAGCATTTTTCGGGGAAGCGACGAACAAGCTAAAAGACTACTTTCACAGCCATTTTGTGACATACAACGTGAGGCGGATATGACCGAAAGCATCCTAGCCACGTACTTTATCACATTTGACCGAATCTCAGGGCAGATGCCCCTAGCGGCGGAACTTCTGCGTTTAATTGCCTTCTTCGACCGTCAGAACATACCCGAAGAGCTATTGAATCAGAGTGGTTTGGAAGGGACGGATGATCCAATCAAGTTTCGTCAGGCCATCGGAAAGTTGTTCGGATTTTCCCTAGTTACAAGTGTCAAAATTCACGACAAGACATTTTACGAGCTCCATCGTTTGGTCCAACTGTCTCTACATGTATATTTACCAACGGAGGAGTTGAACCGATGGAGGGCCACTGCGCTGGGAGTGATTTCAAGGCTGTTCCCGCAGAATTGGAACGCGGGGCGATATGTTGGTTCTACATACATTCCACATGTACTTGTAGTTACGAAACATTCAACGGACCCTGTTGCCGAAGAGCTTTGTTTTCGCCTGGGACGGTACTTTATGGATATGGGTTTCTACAATGACGCAGAAGTTCAATTGCGTCGATGTACAGCGCTGCGAAAGGAGAGTAACGGGTGTGACTGGGATGAGGAAGGTGCAAGGAGGGTCATGCTCCTGGGGAGGGTAAACGTATATCAGGGAAGGGCAGATGTGGCTGAGAAGTTGCTTCGGGATTTATTAGAGGAGATTGAGGAATCATTGGGCCTAAATAATCCAATGGTCCTACGGGCTTTCTATTCCCTGGCTCTGGCACTACGAGACCGTGGAAAGTACTGTGAATCGGAGGCGGTGGGTCGGCGTGCACTGGAGGGGCTCGAGAAGACTCTTGGACTAGACCACCCAGACACCCTAACAAGTCTCAACAACCTAGCCAATGTGCTGCGATCCCAAGGAAAGTACCATGAATCAGAGGAGATGAATCGGCGTGCACTGGAGGGTTATCAGAGAATTCTTGGACCAGACCACCCGCACACCCTAACAAGTCTCAACAGCCTAGCCATTGTGATAGAACACCAAGGAAAGTACGATGAATCAGAGGCTCTTATAATTCGCAATTGAACTTGAGTCTTGGAGCGCAGTTGGGAAGCCGTTTCTCTTGTCCGCTTAATTGTCTCGATATCTCATCGTTTTTTTTTATTTTTCTTCATAGCTAAATCCGCTGCCTTATATACACTGCAGAACCGCCCCCTTTCACTGGATATTCTTACAGTGTTCCAGACTTCAATCAGCTCACATCCGCTGATCAATCAAACCCCGCTTTCCCCTCTTTTTTCTGTTGGCTTCTCTCCACTTCTTATCCACCCATGTCTTTCAGCCAATCGCTGATTCTTTATGAACCATGTGCTATATAATTTCCCTACTACTTCCAATCTTCCCCGCTCTACCTTTACCTGTACCATCTCCTAGAACCTTCTTCTTCTTTCTACAAATCCTCTGATAAGCATGACAAAAGAAATAACAAAGATCCCATAGTCTCCGGACCCGCTTCTGGTATTCCTTTCCATCGCTCCTGATCATGGTTGGAATAGGTAAGTTAACTTGAATTGGAGTACCGGTGATTTACAATAGAGGCGATGAATCGACGTGCACTGGAGGGGCGCGAGGAGGTTCTTGGGCCAGACCACCCGGACACCCTAACAAGTCTCAACAACCTAGCCATTGTGCTAGAATCCCAAGGAAAGTACGGTGAATCAGAGGCGATGCACCGGCGAAAACTGGAGGGTTCCGAGAAGATTCTTGGACCAGACCACCCGGTCACCCTAAAAAGTCTCAGCAACCTAGCCAGTGTGCTAGAATCCCAAGGAAAGTACGATGAATCAGAGGCGATGAATCGGCATGCACTGGAGGC